AAACTCAACAGTTTCGTCCTACATCATTACCCGGGATTCAATCATTTCTTGGAGAATTTCAAGAAAACTAAACGAACTCAATTTAACAAGTATTTTTGATATATACATTATTGATAAAGATGGTTTTATACCTGGAATTAAAAGCATTGAAGGAAGAAAAAAATATTACAGTTCTTCTTACCGATTCGGATAAACTTGATAACCCAATTGAAGCAGTTTTGAGTTTTAAGCTTGATATTAACAATAAAGGAGAGAAAATCGAGGTGTACTCGAATATGCGAGCCTAATAGTGGTGGTCATGATATTAAACATACAAAACGTCATATAATGTAACGGAATTGGAAATTTAATTGTTAATGTGACCACTGATATAACAAATGACAGTCGAACAATTTAATAAACAAGAATTTCCCAAGGCTCGTTTAATTAAATTTTTATATTAATATTTCGGGTAGTAATACAAATTATTATTATTATTTGTTTTATTCGTTTTGTTCGAATCATTCGTTTTATTATTTGTTTTATTATTCGTTTTATTATTCATTTTATTCGAATAGAAACTCTAAGTTGAGCAGGCTCGAGTTAAAACTTGAATTTTCAAGTTCGAGTCGAGTTCAAAAAATAGGCTCTTAAATTGTTTACCTAAAGAAAATTTATGTTCGAAGTCGAGCTTTAACTTCGCCATTTGAGTTCAGTGGGTCAAGGCAAAATGGTTATTGGAATGCAAATTTAATAAATAACCAGGAATCCTCGATATCGAATCCAACTATTATTGGTCTCCAAAACTAGAGAATTTCGCAGCTATATAAAAGTCAAAATGTTTCGCTTTGACCTTTAATTTTTGATTCAGTCTCGACACATAAGTTTAACTTTCATCTCTTCAAACCGGTTTTGGTGACCAACACTAAATCAAACCACAACCACAACTTCTAATTCTTCGATTAATAGTTTTGATATTATTGTTGAAACAGAGGAAACGCCAATTTGACGATGATAATGTTGACCACATTATAATATGGTCATGTTGAAAGGTTATTATTATTTTTAATGAAATTTGATATTTTTTAAATGTAATGAAAAATATTAATATACATGTGCCAATTGCCAATCGTCATTATTATGAATGTGAGTGGTGCTTATATCCAAGACATTTTATTTCAGATAATTTGTGTTACATTTTATATGAGGAGGATGAAAATGAAAATGAGGAAGATGAACGTGAAATATTAAATAGAAATGATGATTCAGCTGATGAATTAGATGAATTAGAAGAGGAGGAGTCTGGTGATTCTGGAAAAGAATAGTCAAAATAAAAAAATTTCTTATTTTTTATTTATTATATAAAAATAAAATCAAATCGAAATATATTGGTGCTTATATTTATTTTTCTATTTTTTTTGTTTTTTCATTGCAAATTCATACTGGTGCTTATATTCCAGGGAATATGGTATTCTTTAAAAAAAATAACCAAGGTATTATAATTGTTAACAATGCACGTGTGCGTATCCATGAACTCACAATTTAATACTTTAAAAGTAACTTTTCGTTATCGTATAAGGTTATCTGTACCAAAAAAAAATTAGGTCGTAAATTTTAGTCATAATTTAAAAGATATTGTTTATCGTTTAAAATAATAATAATAATATCCAAATAACTTTAGTAGGACACTATGTAATAACAATTGAAAAAACAGGTTTCAGATTTTTGATGTATTTTTTTATTTTTACTCAAGATTAATAAAAAGTAATAATTTTGGTTGCGCAGTGTGCAAACAATTGAAAAAAAGTGTTTTTCGGATTTTGACGTATTTTTTTTTTATTAATAATAAAAAGTAATAATTTTGGTTGCGCAGTGTGCAAACAATTGAAAAAACTGTTTTTCGGATTTTGACGTATTTTTTTATTTTTGTCCAATAGAAAGTAAGCAAATAACAGGCAAAGCAGTGGCAAGGCAATGTCAAGACACTTGCAATTGCAAAGAACTCTCTTTATAAACAGAATATTTGCCGTACGACTCAAAATTCGTTTTATAAGGTGAAAACGTTGATCGCACCAAAAACCAACAGAACTTAACACAAAAAGAAATTAATCTGCAAAATCGACGGAATTTAGATGTGTTATTTTTTTTTAACACAAATAAAAGATTGAATGCTCGTCGTGTCACTATTGCTTGCCAAAACTCGTAATTTTTTTTGCCGATTTTTGAAATCGTTTCCATATTTCAATTAGATCTGCAGTTTTTTCTTATTCTGGCATATTAGAGTCGCACGGCAAAAATTTAATTTCTTATAACTTGCAGAGAAGAGAAGAGAAGAGAGAAAAGAGAAGCGAAGAGAAGAGAGGGAGGAGGGAGCGTAGTTCATTTATATAGGTGATTTTTTATAAGTTTGTGATCTGCGAAAACCTGTTTACTTTTTTCCATAGCCACAAATTAATTTTAAAATTTGAATAAATAATTAGCACGTATCAGAATGTCAGGAATTTCACATGTATCTAATTATTATTATTATCTATTTTTTTGTGTACTGGTACACTTCATCAAAAACATCAAGAATCATCGGATAAGAAAAACCAAAATTACAATTTGTTTTTAATAATTTTAATTGGCCGGAAATTACTTATCAACTAACTTTTAAACTAATTGTTGTGAAATTGACAACAAAACATGATTTTGGACCTTCCGAGCATTTTTTTTAATGGCAAGAAAACATGTTTTTGCATTGGTTTTTAACGAAAAGTTCAACAATTTTAAGTTCCAACCAACAAATGCACCTCAATTTGAGATCTACATTTATCCGTTGATTCTTGATTCAGGCGCATGAGATCATGGCCGTGATGATCAACATGTTTGTTACAAATCATTGGTGAACATTCGGTGTGTTCTAAATTGTTAAGAACATGTACCTGTGTAACTAAGTGTTTATTTTTACACCATACATCTTTCTTTTTTTTATGCTACGTGCATATGTTTATTGTCATGTCATCCATGCTGCAATGTTAACATGTGTTCCTACATGTATTCCTACGCCCATCATTGATTGTTGTTGCTGTCAATCGACGTGTTCGAAATTGTTAAGAACACGTACCTATGCAACTACGTGTTTATTTTTACACTATATGTCTTTCCTTTTTTTTTCACACGTGGACGCGTTTATTGTCATGTCATCCATGCTGCAATGTTAACATATGCTTCTACATGTGTTCCTACGCTCATCATTGATTGTTGTTGCTGTCAATCGACGTGTTCGAAATTGTTAAGAACACGTACTTATGCAACTACGTGTTTATTTTTACACCGTCTGTCTTTCTTTTTTTTTCACATGCGGACGCGTTTATTGTCATGTCTACATTAACATATGTTTCTTGTGCTGCCATTCATTGAATTACTGATTTTTACGATTTGGCTAGTGAAGAAAAATCAATGTTTGTTCTTGGATGAAAAAAATTTGTAAAAAAGTTAATTGAATGTGCTACTAGATGCAAAGAAAATATTTGATACTCATAAAATAATTTAAACCACATCTAAAAAAAATAAAAAATAAAAAATAAAAACTCTTAAATAATTATGTCTTCCATCTTATCTACAATCACATTTGTAAAGTCTGTGAGTGGATCTAACATTTTGAATGGTATGGTAACTTCAAGACTTAACAATGATGATTTTTTGGACTTTACATTCAGTCTTTAATTCCAACGAAGACATCATGATCCAGGATATACAGGATTCTTTTATGATATTTATTGGAGGTGCTCGCATAATGTTCCTAAATAATAAATTGTTTGAACATGAGTAATTGCCAAGGTAATTGATGATAATGATGTCGAGGTCGCTTTCCCCACAGCTAACAATATTTAAAGATAAATGTTCAAAGAGAAATCATATACTTCACTATCAATGGAATACCAGCATCCAGGAAGCAATTTCCAATTCAGAATGCATTTGCACTCACTGTTCACAAGACACAAGGCCTTACACAGCCACACTCAACTGTATCCATTGATGAAAATATGTTCGCCACAGGACAGATATGTGACGATGAGTAGGGCACCTTCGTGGGATTCTCTGGGTATATTATCTTTTGATTTTGATTGCATAAAGGTAGATAGACATGTTATTGATGAGTACAAAAGGTTAAATCTCTTGAACCAAAATGGCTTGAAAGAATTGATGTAATAAAAAAAAATACCTTGTAAAAAAAAGTATGTAAAAAAAATCATTAGAAAATTAATTATCAACGTAATAAATAAATAAATAAATAAATAAATGAATAAAATAAATAAATGAATAAAATAAATAGTATAAATGAATGAATAAATCATATTTTATACAAAAATAAAATTAAATTACAAATACACAAGAATGAATATATAATAATAATAAATAAAAATGTTATTATTGATATGGAGGCAAATCTTCCTCTACATGATGAAGGAGATGCTGAGATGATGGATTATTATTAGGCTTATAAGGCGGAGGATTGGAACTAACTATTGAATCATGATAGTCATCATTATAATACGAAGAATTAATAATGTATTCAGACCCCATTCCCAATTTTTCTATTTCACCTTCTGTGATAGTAATAGTGGAAGAAGAAGATCCTGCTGCTGCTGCTGCTGCTAATGCTTGTGCTTTAGCTTGTTTTGCAGAAGAAACCGTCAACATTCCATAATAATCTTCAAAAATCCCTTTAGCCTCCGCATCTTGTTCATATCCACCACAATAATTAACAGAAATTTTCAAAACTGATTTTTTTAAAGTTATTTCCGTGGAGAAGACAGTTTTACTTCTATATGTTGTTGTAAATTTTGGAGGCATAACTGAGGAAACGATATCCGTCATAATTATATAAAAAGTGTCAAATCCACTCAACTTTGAAGATTTATCTGCAATGAAAATTAATCGTTTGTCTGTTAAATAAATTCTACCAATTGCTGTGTGTTTCACGTCAGAATTCTTTACTTCCATTGTGAATTCTACCGGTTCATATTGGTGGTAATAACCTTCTCCTTTGACTGGTATCGGGCGTCTCTCGCCATTTATATACCGGATTGGTAAGGTATTAATATAATACATTTTTTATTTTGTCGTTGTTAATATGATGATGAGTTTTTTTTTTATTAAAATTTAACATTCATTATATTTCCATATTTATACCAAAATCAGTGACTGCGTCATTTATATAAATATTTCCCAAACCTGGCTAGGATTTCGCTAGCACTAAATTCCATGTCACCAAATTGGGTTAAATAAATTTCTTAAACATATTAATATTGTAAAAAAATACTTGGC